AACAAGCCTAAGCAATAGTGAAACTCAAAGCAATCAACCCAACACCAACACTCACTTGATGGTGACCAGAAGCAAAGCTGTAATTTACAAGCCTAAGCAATCATACATAGGATTGACAGAGGTTCGTGAAGATGACAAAGAACCAGAAAATTCTAAGGAAGCCAGAATCAAGCCATGGACACTGAATTCAAGGCTCTAATGTTTAATCAAACTTTGACATTACTGTCATTCAAGGGTCAAGAAAACATCATAGACTCAAAATGGATATTCAAAACCAAGTATAAAGTGGATGGTTCAATTGAAAGAAGAAAAGCAAGACTTGTTGCAAAAGGTTTCCAGCAAATAGCATGTATAAAATTTGATGAAACTTTTAGCCCTATTGTCAAGTCCAACTCTGTCAGAATTATATTAGCCATTGTACATTTCAATTAGGATGTTAGGTAACTTGACATAAATAATGCCTTCTTAAATGGAAGTCTAAAGGAAACAATTTTTATACATTAACCTAAAGGCTACATTGCCTCAACCGAACCAGATTATATATGTAGATTGTCCAAGGCCATATATGGTTTGAAGTAGACATCAAGAGCTTGGTGTGATAGACTAAGAGACAACCAAGCCAGAAAATTCTAAGTGATTCTTCTTTATTCATTCTTAGAGGTACAAATATATGATATTCCTACTCATTTATGTTGATGACATTATTATAACAGGAAGCAATCTCTGGTGCTTAGAAACATTCATCAATCAACTGAATGTTGCATTCTCTCTAAAAGACTTAGGACATATGAACTATTTTCTTAGCATTAAAGTACACAAGAATGACAGTGGAATGTACCTAAGGCAAACTAAGTACATAAAAGATACTCTAAAGAAGTTCAACATGGAGACGGTTTCATGTCCAACACCAATGATGGGTGATAGACAATTCACTACAAAAAGGGAACCAATGACCAATGTTAATTTGTACAGGCAAGCCATAGGTGCATTGCAATATTTGACCAACACAAGGCCAAACATTACCTTTGTTGTCAACAGTCAATAGATGAAGACACCTACCATGGATCATTGGCAAGGAATAAAAAGAATAATAAGATATCTTCAAGGAACAATGAACTTATGTCTGCATATAAAACCCTCAAATGATCTTGACATAATGGGGTGTTCTGATGCAGATTACGCAACTAGTACTAATGACAAAAAATCAATGGCAAGATGGTATGTGTTTCTTGGAGAAACTCTTGTTTCCTGGTCTTCAACAAAACAAAAGATAGTATCACAATCAAGCACAAAATCAGAATATAGAGTCATGGCTAACGTTATAGCTGAAGTAGCGCGGATTAGATCTTTGCTAACAAAACTAAAAATACCAATGCTCATAAACCAATGTTGTGGAGTGATAACCTAAGTTCAAAGTCAATTGTTTTTAATCCAGTCATGCATAGTTCGAACACATTGAGATAGATGTGCACTACATACGTTATCAAGTCCTAAAAAATGAAGTAATTGTGGCCTTGACATGACCATGTCACCACTAGTTTGAGAGGAAAGTTAGACAAAGTTAAATACTCTGTTCAATATACTATCATTTAGGACTGTTGATTTTAGCAACTCACAATATCAATTTTTATTTATTGTGTAATTGATCGAGGTCGTACCCGAATCAAATTAATATGCAATTAAGTGCACTATAGACTAGGACGTGACTCCTAAGTCATCACTCAATGACCAAATATTGGTTCAGGAATTAGATCGAACACTTGGTGAGGGTGTTTATGGACAGTTTGATGACTTGAATTGAAACAACTAAAACACGAATTGAACTACTAATTGACAACGATTAGTCACTAACTCAATTACAATGCTTCCAATCATAGATTAGCAACAAAACTCACTCCTTCAACCCTTAATTAAACATGAATTAACCAACTAAGCAAAGATTAACCATGTTTTCATAGAAGCGGATTAAGCAAATGCCATGGTCATATTCAATCAATTATGCACCACACAATTTCATGAACTAAGCAAAGATTAAACACCAATTAGGAAATTAAGCGTGTATCCAATTGAAAATGCACAACCAGATTCAATATCAACCAAGTTAGAGTAGCATAAACACAATTATAGCTTAGAAATCTTAAGGAAACGATGTAATTTCGCTAATGACCGACCAAGCAAACCTAAGCTAACATTAAATTGAAATTACAACAGCAAAATGAAAGGAAAATCAACATTAAATCTGGAACATAATGCACAAAACGAAATTGCAATGAAAAAGGATTCAGAAATTGGAAAACGGAACAACAACGAAAAACGAAAATGCAAAAACAAAATGTGAACCAAGAAAGGAAATTGAAAACACAATAACAAGCAATAAACGAAACTGGAAATACAAGTGAAAGTAAGAGACGAAAACAAAATTTCCATAATGAAACCTAAACCCCCCAAGCAGGGGGTAGGGACTGGAAAACACAACTATCCTCCAAGACCTAAGGGAAAAAAATGAAAATGAAGGGAAAGAGAATGTGAAATCTGATTTTTGGGGTTTTAAAGACCCCATTTACCGTTTTGCCCTTTACAGGGGCTTCTACAAAATATGGCCAAAAATGAGTCCAAAGCTAAACTAAAAAATGAAATTAAAATCTAATGTTGATGTGGAAATTGGTAAATGAGGTTTAGTCCCAAAATATGATTCCAAAATTGTCCTGCAAATAATAATTGGAATAATTAGGCCAAAATAATTCAAATTAATTAAAATAAGAATTAATAGTCTAATTAAGCCCAAATAGTGAAAATAAGACAATAATAGAGAATTAAACACAATTCACTGATATATTTTGATTCCGAAAACTAAGTGAATAGTATAAAATAACGATTCATCAGTAATAATATTACATTAAATACAGTAATCATTCATAAACATCAGTTTATGATAGTATTTCTCTTTATTAGTATAATTACAAGTTATTATTTATTGTATGTTACTTTCTATACTTATTTTTTTTTACATTATTTTGGTATTTAAATCATCAATGCAAATGAGACTATTGATACTTTTTCTATGTAAATTATGTTAGAGTAAAAGAGGAAAAGAAAAATTTTACAGTTGGCAACCGATGTAATATTAAATACAAAACTTCACTTCCTAATATCACCATATGGTATTTAAAATTTTTGAAATGCGTCATGTTTCTCTTACATTAATTTCGCTCTAATAGATTACGTTTCTCTTTATTATAGAAATAATACTTTCACACATAAAATATTTATTATTTATTTCACATTATTTTTTATCAAAAAATTATAAAAGTTTACTTTTATAATTTTTGTACCTTTCTCAGGTAAAAGTGTCACCCTATCATTCCTCAGATACTTTTCAGTTTTTCAGTTAAGCAAACGAAGCTTATTATTTTTTGTATAGATATATATATTTATTACCTTTTAGGGTTAGATTGAAGTGCGTGAAATTGACTATAACTTGTTATTTATTCTTTTTCACTTTTATGTTTGTTTGACCGATGCTATATATTATCATTTCTTTCATGGTTCACATAAAGTTATGATAGCTAATTCTCGGCATTGAAAAAAGAGTTTATATTTTCTCTTACAGAACATTCTAAATTTATTTGCAAGTATGTAGATTTACAAAAAAATTTATAAATGATCATAAAAGCACAATTAAATTAAAGTGGGCGTGGGTCATGATATTACTATATACTACATAGCCAAAGTCTCCAATTTATAGAATTGGAACTAAATATCCAAAAACTAGCCACTATCCTATGACATAGATATCAAATAAAATAAATAATAAGGAATAACTATACCCTTGTCCAATGTTGCATCTTCTGGACAAAACAAATTGTTCCTCCACATTTCAAAATGGTAATAGAAAAAAATATATATAGTTAATTAATAATTATAAAAATCATAACTTTAAAAAATAGTTAAAGGTTAAAATATGATAAGAGATTTTAAACTTAATTCAATCTTAAACGTTAGTTGTAAGAGGAAATATATATATATATATATATATATATATATATAAAAGTCTTTTAATCCTCTATTTTATACTGAAAATATATATATATACATAGTTGTTTGAAACAATATAAAAACGAAATATAAATATAAAAACGAAATATAAATATAAAAACGAAATATAAATATATGAACATAAATGCACATATATCAACGAAAAATAAATTAAATCTAAAAAATTCTGACTTTTAATAACCATATAACAAAAGAAATATAAATTCTAACATCTAAATTAAACATCTATTTGTACAAATGTCATTATTAATTTTAGTGTTAATTTTTTATATTTTTATATTAAACATCGAAGACTTATTTCGCAACAATAAATTTTCAATTAAACAGAGATAGTCCAACTTCAACACGGCAGCTTCATGCATAATGAAATGATAGGCTAAATAAAGACTAAAATAGGTTTTAATCCTTTTATATTAAAAATTAAAATTAAAATAATTTTGAAAAAATAAATCACCTGAATCTACTGTGTCTCAGCAATCTACAAAGATAGCAGTCTGAGAAAAAAAAATGTAAATTACAGAAATACCCTAATGATTCATTGTTTTGTTTTCATTGGTTTTCTTTTATTTTGTGCACTTTTGATTGGTCGCATGTAAGTATGACGTGTCGTTTTTCTAAAATTTGCGTGTTGACCTCAATGGTCCCTTGTCTCTCCTTAATTCTGTCAATATTCTCTCCTGAAAAAAGTGTGAAAGTGACAAACATCAACATCAAATCCAACATCACATCAACATCAAAACATGTATAATTAAGAGCAAAAAGAAACCTGGCACGTGCCTCTTTATGATTCGTGGCTGCACGTGCTCTTTTATGATTCGTGACGGCACGTACCATTGTGCTAACATGGCCAATACGACGCGATTCAACGAAAACCTAAACAAAACGAGGTTTCCTCAATATGTATATAATCCCCACACATGTTTCTGAGAGTCTCACACCAACACAGAGCATACCCCTTGGCACTCGTGTTCCCTAGGCAGGGAGCAATACTGTAAAATCAAAACAAAAAAAAATTCTTAGTCTCCTTCTCCGGTAAAACTCTCTCTAATCCGATTCTCTCATATGTTTTTCTGTCTATTCTAATTCTCTAATTTTATTTTTTTTCTCGAGACACTTTATACTTTTGCTTTGATTTCAGTGTGGAATTTTGGTGTGTTTCAAGGAGGATTCAATTTTTGCAGAAAAACAATGGCGGCGGCGATTTCTGCTTCTATGGTGGTTCCAGCCACAGTGTTGAATGGTGCGCAATTCGGGAGTGCCTCTCTGTATGTCGGAGATCTGGATGCCAATGTGATAGAGAGTCAGTTGTTTGATCTGTTCAGCCACGTGGCTCAAGTGGTTTCGATTAGGGTTTGCAGGGATCACACTAAGCGAACCTCCCTCGGCTATGCATATGTCAATTTCGCCAATGCTCAAGATGGTTTGTTTAATCGTCCTTTGTCGTTTATTTATTTGATCTTTTTCTATTCAAATCTTGCATGTGATTGATTATAATGTATCTGTTGTTGTTGAAATAGTTGCGTTATTATTTTTAGAACTAAATGAAAGGATTAAACAGAATCCTGAGATATTTTTTTTAATTATTTTTTATTTTTCGGTTGGTGACTGTTTGTGTTCTGCACTGATTATTTTGATCTAGAGTGGTCTCCTGTCCTGGCTATAGCTGATTTTTTTATTATGTTGTCTGTACGATTATTTGTTATTTTTTTTATTGAAGTTGTGGATTTGATTATAGCTGATCTGTTGGATGGGGTCTTGGATTTTGGTTTTTCTTAGAACTGGATTGAAAATGAAAAACATTTCCTGAGTTAATTGTTTATTAAATTTTTTCTTAGTATTATTTCTTTTCTTTTTTTGTATTTGATTATTTTGATCTACATCTGTCTTAATTATTTTCTTGCTTTGAATATACTTGTCTAGATGGTTGTGTTGAATTTGATTTGGGAGGAAAGAAATGTTAACAAGAAAACCTATTTATTTTTATTTATTATTTTTCTTTTGGGATCACATGTTTCCCTTTTTAATTTTGATTATTTTGATCTTCGTCTTCCGTCAGGTTCATAGGTGAGTGGTGTTTGTAATTGTGTTTAGTGCTATTACTTTTTATTTCTTTTTTCTATCGAAGTACTGGATTTCATTATAATTGTGCTCAGTTAATGTTTGTGTATTACCATTATTATTTGGTTTACCAGTCGATTATTTTGATATTTGTGTGTGTTAAAGCTTAGATCTGGTGTTGATCTACATGTATGTCTACTTACAACATATCTACGTGCTTGATCTGCATAATTAAATTTATGTTGCAGCTGCTATTGCCATGGAACATCTGAACTTCACTCTTCTGAATGGAAAACCCATTCGGATTATGTTTTCTCACCGTGATCCCAGCATCAGGAAAAGCGGATTTGCAAATGTGTTCATTAAGAACCTTGATGCATCAGTAGATAACAAGGCACTGTATGACACTTTTGCTGCCTTTGGAACTGTGCTATCTAGTAAGGTAGCGGTTGATGAGAATGGTCAATCAAAAGGGTATGGATTTGTGCAGTTTGACAATGACGAGTCTGCTCAGAATGCTATAAAAAAATTGAACGGCATGTTAATAAATGATAAGAAGGTCTATGTTGGGCTTTTTGTTCGGCGTCAGGAAAGGGCTCCAGGGAATGAATCACCAAAGTTCACCAATGTGTATGTGAAAAACTTTTCTGAAACATACACTGATGAAGACCTTAAGCAACTCTTCAATACCTATGGTACTATAACCAGTGCTGTGGTCATGAGAGACGGAGAGGGGAACTCCAGATGTTTTGGTTTTGTGAATTTTGAAAGTCCAGATTCAGCCGCTACTGCCGTTGAAAAGTTGAATGGAACAACCATCAACAATGACAATGTTTTATATGTAGGGAGGGCTCAGAGGAAGGCAGAAAGAGAGGCAGAGTTGAAAGCTAAATTTGAACAGGAAAAAAGAAATAAATTTGACAAACTTCAAGGTGCTAACTTGTATCTGAAAAACTTTGATGACAGTTTTAATGATGAAAAATTGAAAGAGATTTTTTCTGTGTTTGGAACAACAACATCTTGCAAGGTACAGTTTTGTTCGTAATATATTGGTTTATTCTTTATGGGATGTGTAAAATTACTTCTTCTTTAATACAATATTTTGTGCAGGTAATGGTTGACGCACTTGGTCGTAGCAAAGGTTGTGGTTTTGTTGCATTCTCTACTCCGGAGGAAGCCACTAGAGCCGTAAGTTTTTATTTATTTATTTATATATATTATATAAGATTGACATACTAATATATACTATATATATTTTCTTAATCTTTATATATATAGAGTAGTAGATTGTGGTAATAATCACTATATTTATTTATTTTGTTACCTATTTTACTTATTTTCAGTTGGATGAAATGAATGGGAAGATAATTGGACAAAAGCCTCTGTATGTTGCAGTAGCCCAGCGAAAGGAAGAAAGGAAGGCTAATTTACAGGTGATTATGTGCTTGTTTTAAAATTTTGTATTAATGTTGTTTTAAATTTTATATGAATCTTGTTTTAGCCTTTTATAATATATATTAATTCTTTTACTGTATTCAGGCCCACTTTTCTCATATGCAAATTGCTGCTGGCATTACTGGATATCATCAAGCTTATTTTGGTCCAGGAACACCTGGGTTTGTCTCACCTCAGGCAACAGGCTATGGTTTTCAACCTCATGTCTTGCCACAAAGCATGCGTGGGGTTGCTCCAAATTACATTATGCCATACCACCTTCAGAGACAGGGTCCTCCTGGACAAAGGATGGGTCCTACTACACGAAGGATGGGAAATACCCAGGTGATCATACTATAGTTGTATTCTTCTTCATACAAAATATTATACACACTAATAAATTTGAAATTTTGAAAATAGGTAACTCTCACCCATTCACTTCCAATACCACCAACTGGTCCAAACGGCATACATAAGTATGTAGTGCCCTATAATGTGGTGGATCCATCTGACATTTCTGTATCTCCTATTGATGTCAAGACTTCTGCTTCATCATCAACTACCCTTGCTTCAGCTTTGGCTTCTGCTAGTCCGGAGAATCAACATAGGGTAAACTATATTCATGATTTTATGTAATTGATTTTGTATGTAATTCAGAAATAATTGTAAACTTTAATACTTGTAGATGCTGGGTGAACATTTATATCCACTGGTGGAACGTCTTACTCCAAGTCATCAGACTGCAAAAGTCACAGGAATGCTGCTGGAAATGGATCAATCTGAAGTGATTCATCTTATTGAATCTCCTGAGGATTTGAAGACAAAGGTGTCCGAGGCAACGAAGGTGCTTCAAGATGCAGCAGGTTCTGAAGTTGGTGATCAACAAAAGTGATATAATTTTCAGTTTTAGATATATTTTGAGACAATTTTGAGGTTCCAACGAGACTTTATTTATTTTGTTTGGACTAGACTTTAGATTATTATAAGGGTGTCAAGGATTTTAGTTTTATAAATTTATGTTTTTGGACTGAATTATAAGTTTACTATCTTTTGAATTTTAGTTCTTTTTGTTTTAATCTATTCTATAATATCTCGGGTATTATGCTATCTGAGAATTATAGAATATTTACACGCGGGCCAACTTGCAGCCATCCCGTAGTATGTTTTAAATGTGTTATTTCTTCTTTTCTTCGTTCATTCGAAGAGAGACATACGTACAGAAACAAAACAACGTTCATCTTCCACTTTGAGACTTAGGGACGAGACTCCTCAACGACCAAGCTCATCCACAGCGACATTGGTCACCCTCAGTAGTAAAACATGTTTGTTTCTATTCTTCGATTTTGTTTCTCTTCTTTAATTCATTTATCTAATCTTCTTTTTCTTACTTTGAGACTCCACAACAAGGAGTCTCCACAGCAACCACAACAAGGAGTCTCCATAACATTTTGAACCATGGTGCCAAAACTCATCCATGACGATGGCATAGGTTCGTTTTTCTTCTTCTATTCATTTCTTCAAATTCCCTAATTTTTGTTTTTGCTTTGGTTTTCTTCTTTGCACCATTGTTTTATGGTTGGTTTTTTGTTGTGCTCATGAACATTTTGTGGATTGAGAATTCTGGTTGTGACGATTTTTGTAGATTGACATTTCTGGTTGGATTGGAACTTTTGCGGATTGGGATTTTTAAGGCGTGAGCTAGGTTCTCAGTGTAAAGATGAAGATGATGAATCTCGTTCCTTTTTTTTTTTTTTTTTTTGTGTATAAAGGTCTGCCTGTCATGTATAAGGGTGAGAATATGATGGGGAAAACCAAAGTTGATGATGATAAATAGGTGAGCCAGTGATTGGGGATGAAGAAATGGAAGGTTAGCCCACTAGCTCGCTCGCCCACCCAGTGGCGGTGGTCTCACCCGACTTGAATTTAGCATGCCAGAAGAAAGTTGAGCCTATACTGGCCAGACGGACCCATTTTAACACCTCTAATGTTTACAAATGTCTTATTTTATAATTGTATTATATATTATGTAATATTTACATATTATAAAATATTTGATTATCTTATGTTGTTGCAAAATTAATTTTATAAGATAATTAGTAGATTTACATGATATCAATGTTATTTTCTAATTATATTTGAAATTACAAAAATATTTATTATTTTAGACAACATTAAATCTTAAAAGATAATAAAAATTATATGATAAAATGTTATTTTTTTTAAGATGAAATATTTAATTTTTTATTTTTTTTTACAAATTAGTAAATTTGAAAAATAAAGTATATATTTTGACAACTATACATTAATGATTTATGATAATTAACCTTCATAAAATTTAATAATTAATTAATTTGGAGTGTAGGAACGATGTCCAATAAATTATTCATGAATTTAATAATTGTTTTCAACTCATTTGGGAATTAAAATATTAATGGTAATAAATATAGATTAATTACCTTCATATCTCAAACATATAACTGTAGATTTTAGAGTGAGTTTTTATTAGTGTTATTCTAATTATGGTCTAATCGTGATTGATTATATTTAATGTCTAAATTAGTCACTAAGACTAATTGTCTTAAGCATTGATTGGTGGTTAGACTCTTTGACATTTTAGTCTTAATACCTTGTTCGTGCCGTCTTGTAAAAATTGAACGTCCAATATATAGCTTACCGGACTATATGATACGTTAGTATAAATAATTTTCTTATAATAATTCATCAATAGGAAGAAGAATAGGGCATGGACGGGTTTTGTTCTCTCATACTCAACCCAAAGACAAAATTCATCCTTATATCCAAATATGAAAGTTTTGTTTCATCTCATTCTCACTGGTAACAAGTGTACACTCATGTTTGTGTCCGTACCCATACCTATTTTTTTTATACCTAAATATCAATTAATTAATTTTTATAAAACATTAAAAATTCTTAAAAATAAAACATAAAATTATTAAATATTCAATATCAAAATGATGTATTCTCGTATTTTTCAATATTAAATATTTAGAAAAAAATTATAATGATATACCTTTCAAATTAAAGTACCAAATAAAGTTTCATGAAACCAAAACCTTTATTAAATTTACAAAGCTAAAGTTCTTAAATTTTTAAAATATTTTTGACAAGATTACAAAATAAGAATCAAATTTACAAATATTTTAAATGTTTCTTTATCTTCGTATTCTTTAAATTCTAATAAAATTTCTTTCTATATGAACTAATAAATGAAATTACAAAAAAAAAGTTTGAACTAATAATAATTAAAATTTAGCATAGATTTTTTATCTTTTTGGACTTTGATATATGTTGGATTGTAATATAAATAATATTCATGACAATGACATTAAATTATTAAATTATTAATAGTAAATGAATTTTTTTTCTTATACAATTCTAGTAGTACACTTATGATAGTATATTAGAAAATATTATCTATACTCATACCCATACCTAGTTAATATACAATGACATTAATATATATATATATATATATATATATATATATATATATATATTATATATATATATATATATATATATATATATATATATATATATATTAAACTACCAAATAAATTATATTTTAATAATTTAAATAGAGACGAGCGCAGGGTCAATATATACGTTTCCATTTCCTTGTATCTAATTGAAAAAGTTGAATATTATCTATACTCATACCCATACCTAGTTAATATAGAGATTTTTCATCCAAACAACGATAAATTCGAACAATATCAAGGTAACAAGTTTATTTGTTATCCTGCTCAAGAGTCACTTTAAAGGAGTTATAAAGTGATTTAATGATAAACTATGGAGAGGTTATTGATTCAACTCTGCCATAACATTTGGGAGTTATGAGATTAGTTTGAAGGGTTTGAATTGGAAAGGGAAGACAAAAAAGGTTATGAATTTAATTCTATTAAGAACTAACAATTTTATAGAAATAAAATCAATCACTTTAAAAGTGTCTAACAATTTAAATTATGAGGTCGTTAATTACTATGAATTTTTCTCAATTCTTTATTTTTAGGTGTTTTCATTAATATTTAATTTTTTTTATCTGATTTGGAAATTTTCATACTTTTTTGTATGACTCTTTAATATTATGTGTTATTGTCTCAATAATAACATTTTTAATAGAAATCACACTAATATCAGGTGAATACACGTTTTGATAATTTTCATAATTCTTTGATATGATCATTTGTTCTTATCTCACAATAATAATATTTTTATAGAAATTATAACAACATTATGCGGTGTATTACTTTTAACTTTTTCACACTTATTTTGTAATTCTTTAATCAGAAAACTTGTCATTTCTACAATAATAATATTTTTAAAGAAATCTCAATAATAATATTATGACGTTTAAATTTTTTTTATATTAATTTGATCATCTTTATTGGTAAACTTCATTATACTTTTATAAAAAAATGTCCTAAAAAGGTTTACTTTTATGATAAAGATATTTAGTGAAAAGCTGCTAAATAGAAAAAAGTATGTTATAGATTGTTGTTTTATAGAAGAGTTTATAAATAATTTATAATTCTCAAATTAATTAATAATTAAATTAATATAAATTAGAGTTTTGATTTTTAAAATTCGGCAGAAAAGTTATTTTCTGCAGGATGATATATGTCGCATGTCTGTGATTCTATTTCGTATTTTATTTTTGATCTTGTCCTCTTTCTCTTCTTGTTTGTTGTTTCTTATCTTTTTCCTTACATAATTATCTTTATCTGCATCCTAATTAAAACTGTGTCAGTTATCTTATTTTTCTTGTCTTTGATTCTAACAACTATCATTCATGGAGCATATATATTATTTATTAATGCCTTAAGGACAAAAAAAATAAGCTTGAATTACTAAGAACCCGATAAAGATGATTCTTTAAATCAAGTATGGAAAATATTCAGGTTTTTCATCAAACTAGGCATATTTGCCTTCAATATTATTAAAATGGGCAAATTCAACCGAAATTACGAAAATGGGGAAGTCGTGGGGGGTCCAAACGATAAATGAAGAAGTCATGCCCCCCTGCACGACTTCACACTGTTCATATGTGCAGTGGTGAAGTCGTGCACCCCAAAAACGACTTCTGGTGTCTGTAATCGATTACAATGTAATGGTAATCGATTACACAGTGTGGTTATCGTGACCCCCCTACACGACTTCAAATGGGTAGGCCAAAAACGTACTGGTAATCGATTACAGAAACCCTGTAATCGATTACCAGCCCATCTGGTAATGGATTACAACAAATCCTGTAATCCCTTACAGGGAGTATCTGGTAATCGATTACAGGGTTTGTGTAATCGATTACCAGTGTCTGGAGGAACAAATTTTGAAATTCTTTGCTTTAGTATTGATTGAATGCATCATCTATTAAAATTGACTTATATATAAAGTTGTTTTGACATGATGTGCAATAATAACGTAAGAGGATAATAGTTTATAATGATATAAATTTTATTGATTAATTAAAAAATTAGAGACAAATTACATATTTATAAATAATAAACGCAAGCAATCTATCTATGTCCTCCAGTCCCACACGTTGGTCTTCGTCGTGGTCGTTGGCCTCGCCTTTGTGATTGCAAAATCATTTTCAATATTACCAATACATAACATAGGTAAAATGCAAAATCATTTTCAAAAACCAACCAAAAACACACTGGTAATCGATTACAAGTAGATTGTAATCGCTTACCAGAGTGATTCTTGCACCACAAAAACACTGGTAATCGATTACAAAAGTGTCGTAATCGATTACCAGTACATTTTATGCCTACTCATTTGAAGTCGTGCAGGGGGATCACGGTTTCAACACTCTATAATCGATTACCAGTACACTATAATCGATTACAGCACCCAGAAGTCGTTTTTGGGGTGCACGACTTCAAAACTGAACAAATGAACAGTGTGAAGTCGTGCAGGGGGGGCACGACTTCTTCATTTGAAGTCGTTTTGGCCCCCCACGACTTCACTTTGGGTCAAAATTTGCCCATTTTGGTAATATTGAAGGCATATTTGCCTACTTTGGTGCAAAAACCAAATATTCAAGAACCTTGTGATA